TCTATCCCAGTAAGCTTCTGCTAATCTGCTCAAAGGGGTTGGTCCAACAGTTTGTTGTCTGTTGGACAAAGCCATAAAACATTGATTTAAGGTTGCTGGAATGGAATCTATTCTTATTAATATTAAGCACATATTGAGTGCTTACTGTATGTTGGGAATTGTCCCTCAGCCTCACATGAATATTATTTCTCTTAAAACCTCACATATTTCCTCATTATTCGCACTTTACAGATAAGGAGATTGAGGATTAAGTCTTCTCTCTTTGGGGGAAGCTCATTATCAATGACAGGAAGTTGTAAGGAAAAAGATATTGATTCATCCTGAGAAAACATTTTTCGGAGAGTCAGCATTGAAGAGGGTGACCACTGAAGAGGGTGATCATTGTTCAAGTGAGACGAGCCCCGGGTTCTTCCGAGTCAGCTTCCCTGTCCTAGACACGGCAAGTGTAGAGCTGCGTGGTGGGTGAGGTGGCGTGGCTGCGCAGGGAACGAGGATGCTGGGCTGTTGGGCTGTGCTAAGGCCCGGTGGGGCTTTCTCTAAAGGACATTGGACCATCATTGACAGATTTTAAGTAGGGGAGTGGGGTGCTCTCGTAGTTCACTTTTGTCTTGTAGAATGCTTGGAAACATTTAGAAGGCTCGGCAGGAGGTGATGTGATGAGTCAGAGTAGGGTGGCTGCAAGGTGTGGCAGTGTTCAATTTTCACGTGATTTTCAGTCCCAGGTTTGTGGCTCAGTAGCCGTGTCACATTGGATGACGCACTCAAGGAAGTGAAACAATTTAAACAATTAACGCAGTGATGTGCCGACTTCCCAGGACTACTGTGGAGATCAAGTGAGATAACTTGTGCACAATGTGCAGCGTGGTCCCCAGCACAGAGTCAGTGCTGAGTGAGTGCCAGTGATTACATGGTAGGACAGGTGTGGGTGGTGGGACTCAGTGACTAGGAAATCTGGGCCCTGAAGGAGGGGTCCAGTCACATCTGTGAGTGATGGGCCTGACCTGGGAGAGGCAGGGAGACCTTGCCCCCTGACCAGGGGCCCTGGGCAGGACGGCTATGGGAGGAGCACCTGAAGTCAGCTCTTTGCAGGTGGATTTGGAAGTGCCCTTGAGACACCTAAGTGTAGTGTCACGAGCTCACAGAGGAGGTCTGGGCCTGGGCTGTGCATTTTCCTATAATCTCAATCCCTGAGGACCCCATGGTATTGATCACGGAATGTGAAAACATACTTTAAGGAGAAGAGAAGAGTAGTATCATCTCTGTCATCAAAGCTCACGTCTCTTTATTTATCACTCACTTTGCCAATTGGGTACTTACAGAGCTCAATTCACCACCCTCTCCTGGGCTCAGGCTCCACAGTAAAGAGCTGGTGAGCCTCCCTCTTTTCCAGAAGAAGACACATTTAGCTGGTAGCCTTCTATACCTAACCAGACTTAGAATTTTAGCTTGTTGTTTTAATTCTATTTTCTGTTGGCCATCTCCTGACAGGAGAGACGATTTGCCTCATGGTCATATTTCAATTAGCTGTTACTGAGATTTCCTGATCTGATCCATAGTCTATGTATTCTATTAAGTTTGTAGAGTACTTATCATTTTTCTGTCTTTGCCCTTTAAATTTGTTTGCCCCTTCAAGGTTCTATCCTATTTGGGGACTTATATTTTTTTTAATTAAAAAATGTCCGTTAGCAGTTAAGAAAACAAAAGAAAAAATGCACATGATATCTAAATTTAGAAAATATCTAGTGTGTTTTCTGTGTCGGCAATGGAGGGTTCTAGAAACTCGTGAAAACCTTCATTACACAAGTTCCTTAAAATGCTGATTAAGAAATAAAACCTT